AAAACAATTTAAACAGTGTCTCATTTCAAAAGAGAAGATTCAAGCAGACTTAAGAAAAACCAAAGTTCAGCAAAAAAAAATCTCAAGACTGAACACCTGGGATTCACTTACAGTCTTCTGGGCTCCAAAGGACTTGGGCAGCTTCACTTTTCTGACTCTCCAATACACTGCACACACATCTTGTCTCTAAAGCTCAGGCTGACCCCATTCCACACATGCTGCTGCCGCTGATAGTCATCCCATGGTCCTGACATAACCAAAAAGCTGGGGTCTCCACTGAAACTGAGTCCACACTTTCACCAATGGCCTCTTCTTGCCTCTTGGAGTGCAAAGCCTCAGATTCTCTCCATGACCCCTTCAATCCTGGGGTCTTCGCTGCAACTGAAGCTGCACTTTCACCTATGGCCTTTCCTGGCCTCTCAGAGTGCCAAGTCTCAGCTGCTCTCTGTGACCCCTTCACACTTTCAACACCAGAACCATGCAGGAGACTCTTACATTACCAAGTCCTGCGCTTCCAGCTTGACTGACCCTGAGGAAATACCTCCCAGAAGATTTCACCACAGTGATGCTGGTCTCTTGTTACTTACAGCTGATTTTTCAGCCCCAGCTAACCAGCATCAATTGTCCCAGTAAAGCAAAGGTTTTGCTTCAGGTTCTGGTCTCTTCTTAATCACAGCTGATTCTTCAGCCCCAACCAACCAGAACCCACAGATTCTCAATCCAACATCTCACACCAACAGCCCTGATAGTCTCTGATTCTCTTTGAAGCTTCACAAGCCAGGCCTCCATCATCTACAACTCTTTCACCATAACTGTTCCAAGCTCCACTGCAACAAACTCTGAGCATGCAATGGCTTTTCCAGCCCAAAGTTCCAAACACTTCCACAGTCCTCCCCAAAACACCAAAGTCAAGTCTGTCACAGCAATACCCCACTCCTGGTACCAGTTACTGTCTTAGTTTATTTCTTCATTGCTGTGACAAAATACTCTGACCACTACCAACTTGGGGAGGAAAGGGTTTATTCAGCTTACAACTCCCAGGTCGCAGTTCATCAGGGAGCCCAAGGTAGGAACTCAGGGCAGGAACCTGGAGGCAGGAGCTGGAGCACAGGCCATGGAGGAATGCTGCTTACTGGCTTGCTCTCCTGGCCCCTGCTCAGCCTGCTTTCTTATGAAACATAGGCCACCTGCCCAGGGTGGCACCACCCACATCACTCATCAAGAAGATGCACCTCAGACATGGCCACAGGCCAGTCTAATAGAGGCAATTCCCCAATTGAGGCTCCCTCAACCCAGGTGTGTCAAGTTGACACTAAAGCTATCCAGCACATGCCCTCATTCCTAAAGTTAGTAGTTTATAAAATTGATTGAAACCACTCTGTGCATGACTCCAGAGTTCAAGCCCTTCACTCCTTTGGTCTCAGAAACAGAAGACTGAATATGGTATTGGCTGGGTGTAATCATAAGTCCTCTTCCTCTCTGGAACTCTCCTTTTCAATGAAAAATAAGAGATGGAGTTATCCATCCTCCTTATAGCAATATTTTGTGATTTATGAGATCTATCACATATGAAAATGAAGGAAATCAATGAAGGGACTGTGAAGTTAGCTTGAGACCTTTGCAATCTTGGGACTGGAGTGACTGCTCAGTGGTTTAGATTGTACAGTGTTCTTACAGAGGACTGGAGGTCAGTTCCCAGCACCCACATCAGTGGTTCACACTACCAGCAACTCTAGCTCGAGGGGATCAGATACCTCTGGTCTCTGCTGGCATCTGTACTCATGTGCATATACCCCACAGTGAAACACACACAGACACAATTCAAAAATAATAAAAATAAGTCTTTAAAAATATTTTTATTTTACGTACGTGTGTGTGTATTACCTGCATGTAGATTAGTGCACCCACGTCTTGTAATGCTGTGGAGGTCAGAAGATGGCGTTAGATCCCCTGGAACAGTTGTTAGCTGTTATGTGGGTGCTGGGAACCGAATCCCTGTCTTCTGCAAGAGCAGTCAGTGCTCTTTCTTTTTTGGTCAGTGCTCCACTGAGCCATCTCTCCAGCCTCCATAAATCTTTTTAAGAAAGAGTACTAGCACCCGGGAGGCAGAGGCAGGTGGATCTCTGTGAGTTCAAGGCCAGCCTGGTTTACATAGTGAGTTCCAGGACAGCTGGGGCTACAGGGAGACCCTGTCTCAAAAAGACCAAAAAAAAAAAAAAAAAAAAAAAAAGAGAGAGAGTACTGATCATCTTTTCTTCTCTCTTTCCTTCACTGACCATTTTGCTGATCTTGTTCTATGTTTAGATACATTAAGGATCCAAAGACTCATAGAACACAGTCCTTGACATGCTATCTGCTTGCATATGATAAAGGTATATAAGGCAGATGGTAGCACAGAGTGGGGTGGGGTTAATTCTATTAGGCATGCGCATGTTGATGGGAGTGGTAGTGAATATGTTGTGGGAGGGAGTGAGGTATAATGCTGACCTGGGCCTTGGGGAATGAATAGTTTTCCGTATGAACTAGGTAAAAGCTAGACTTCCTGGATATGCAGAAGCAGCGAGAAGTCGAAGAGTGTGCTGAAGACAAGGAGTTGGTCATCAGGCTATCAGACTAGCTAAGCAGAAGGAGCCCATGAAGAGCTTTGGAGTTTATTCTTGGACATGGCCACATCCTTTCACTTTGTTTTCAGAAAGCTCACTTTGGCTATGGTAGGTGAGGAGGCAAAGGGTGTGGATACCATTAGGAAGCTTGGCAGTGTCCAGGTGATTCACAATGAAGACTTGGACTTAAGGTATTTATAGCAGAGTTAGAGAGGAAGGAGATGGATTAGAGATTTTTAAAGGCAAAACCAAAGGACTTGGTAATTGATGGTTGAGACGAAAGGACTTATTGGACTGGATCAGGTGGCCAAGTATAAAGTGTTACCATTAAGAATTGTAGGGAATTTGGAGTAAGGAGGGAGAAACGCTGCTGTTGACTTTGGATATACAGCTTGAAGTGTCTCTTAAGACAGCCGGGAAGAAAGATTCAGCTCCCACCTTCCTTTCCCCAAGAGCTGTCCCAGCCCAAGTCAGTAATCTTTGGGCCAGTTTCTCCGTGAGGCCCAGCCAGGAATCAAACTCTCAGAGATCTCACTAGCATTCCTGAGCTTGACATCCGTCAACGATAAAAGCAGTGTATTTAAAACTTCCTGGGCTCTCTGATAAAAGCGTGGATTGTGGAATAGATGTGTGTATCAGCCACTGGCTCCAGTGGAGCAAACTCTTCTGCCTTTTGCAAGAAGCAGATTACAAAGAAACCATTTTTCCTGGAGCACTCTCCGGCCTTGACAGGCTCTGGCTCTAAACTCGCTCCCAAGAGCGCCCCCTCCTCTTAGGGAGCCGATTTTTTAGAAAGGAAATGGGGTTGTATAACGTTCAGCCTGGTTCCCGCTGACAACTGGAGCCCTGAGTTTGGGCGGCTGGACCCTCTTCTAATCATCGCCTCTCGAGGCAAGACTCCTTGTAGTCCCAGTCCAGTAAAAACGACGGGACTGAAATCATCTCCCCTCTCAACTCGAATATCCAGCGGTCGCCAGGCGGTGGCAGGGCCGAGCACGTGGACTCATGGGGGGGGCCGCTTCCAGGGTCCTCTTAGGGAAAAAGAAGCCCCGGAGGCAAGAAGCTGGCGCGCCATCCCGGTCCTGGCAGAGCTCCCTGGTACCTACAACCTAGGGCTCCAAGGCAGGGCACGCCCTGTGTCCCACTCCTTTGTGCCCGAGACGCTTATTAGAAGCCGCTATCGCTTCTTCACCTTCTCACGCCACTACCCCTACTGTCATGCCAATGAATCCCAAGAGCAAAGGTGGCATGATTCCTCCCGCGCCCCTGCGGACTGAAGGCGGGCTCTAAAGCCGTGCAGTTCCGAGCTTCCCCTGCAGAAGCCACGCTTCTCAGTAGGTCCGGGAATAGAGGGGGCGCGAGAGAGCCAGTGGGCGGGCGTCCCAACCTCCGCATCCTCCTCCAAGTCCTGGCGCGCGGGGAGGGAGCGCTGCGCCGCGCCGCGGTGCGCATCGCGGCCCACTTGCCGCCTGCCCCCTGCCCTAGTTGGGCCACCTCCCCCGGCTGCCGGTGGAGGGCTACAAGGCGCTAACGTTACGCTGTTTCCGGTTTTCCAGAGGGCTCTGTTTCCCCTCCCAAGGCGGCGGCGGCTGAGCGGCAGAGCCCCCCAAATGGCCTGGCCAGATGCGGCAGGTTTGCTGCTCAGCGCTGCCGCCGCCACTGGAGAAGGCTCGGTGCAGCAGCCACAGCGACAGCAGCAGCAGCAGCAGCAGCACCAGCAGCAGCAGCAGCACCAGCAGCAGCGGCAGCGGCGGCGGCGGCGGCAGCGGCAGCGGCAGCAGCAGCAGCAGCAGCGAGAGCGGCGGCAGCAGCGAGAGCGGCAGCAGAAGCAGCAGCAGCAGCGAGAGCGGCAGCAGCAGCAGAAGGAGCAGCAGGAGCAGCAGCAGCAGCAGCGGCAGCGGCAACAGCAGCATCTCCCGTCCGGGGGCGCCCCCAGAGCCGCGGCCGCAGCCACAGCCGCAGCCCCGCAGCCCCGCAGCCCAGAGAGCCGCCGCCCGCTCGCGAGCCTCAGCCGCCGGCGGCATGAGGCGCGACCCAGCCCCCGGCTTCTCTATGCTGCTCTTTGGTGTGTCGCTCGCCTGCTACTCGCCCAGCCTCAAGTCGGTGCAGGACCAGGCGTACAAGGCACCCGTGGTGGTGGAGGGCAAGGTACAGGGACTGGCCCCAGCCGGCGGCTCCAGCACTAACAGCACCCGCGAGCCGCCCGCCTCGGGTCGGGTGGCACTGGTGAAGGTGCTGGACAAGTGGCCGCTCCGGAGCGGGGGGCTGCAGCGCGAGCAGGTGATCAGCGTGGGCTCCTGCGTGCCGCTCGAAAGGAACCAGCGCTACATCTTTTTCCTGGAGCCCACAGAGCAGCCCTTAGTTTTTAAGACAGCATTTGCCCCGGTCGACCCTAACGGTAAAAACATCAAGAAAGAGGTGGGCAAAATCCTGTGCACTGACTGCGGTGAGTCGCCGGTTCCTTCTGCTAGAGAAAGAGAGAAGGGGGGAGGTGGTGGCGAATGGGGGTGGGGCAGGCGGAGAGGTGCTGCAGGTGCCCAGGCCTGGCAGCTCACCGCCGCTTGGGGGGGGGGGGGCTTCCCGGGGCAGGGCGCCTGTCGCGGGTAGGTGAGGGGGTTGGGGTTGGGGAGAAGGAGAACCAGGCTCAAAGTGTGCCAGGGGCGAGAGCCGGTGGGGAGGCGCTGGCCTGTGCCAACAAGGATCTGCGGCTGATGTATGGCATGTGGGGCTGGAAAGCTGCCATCATAGCCCAGTAGCGGAAGGGAAAACAGTGAGGTCCTGGAGGTACTGGCCTGAGGCTCAGTGAGTCAGGAGTGACCCTCCGAGGCCTTGCCCGCTCCGCTCCTGGGGGGCCTGCCTTGCCCAGGCTGGCTGGGTCTGCAGGAGCAGCTGGGCAGACTCCCAGGCTGTGAAGGCCTTCACTTACAAGTTCTCCTAGGGAATGATCGCCCCGCCCCCTCCTTCCTCTCCCGGCTCGCTGCTCTGCTCATCCACACCGCTGGCGCAGGCAGAGTTGGACTTTTCTGCTACTGTTTTCCGTCTACCATGTGGCTCTGGGTTTTTTCTCCATTGTGACTGCCTGTCTTTGCTAAGGGAGTAGTCCAGCTTTCTCTTAACCTCCAGGACCAGCGAGTAGACACCTCTTTTAGGGCTTTCTGAAATACTAGGTCTTGATGAAGATGGGGTGATGAAACAGAGTAACTTACTTCAGGCTGTAAGTTCAGCTCTGACATCTTCCTGGAGGGATGTATTTGACGGCATCTATTTTCATGATGTTGGGTGCTGCACAGGAATGCAGGTGATTATAAACAAAACACCAGTCTGGAGATCTGTGCAGCCTGGAGGGAGCGAAGGTCTCTCATTTGGAAGTCAAAGAAATGACACCTTAACAGCATTTTCTTCAGGTCTCTGAGTTCCATACTCATTTCTCAATAAGATATTTTTTTAAAAGACTGTATTTGTGGTATTTAGTGTGACTCTGGACTGTTTGAATCCTTGAATTGTGATAGATATCCTGAACTCTCATAGAAGTGGATATATTTACCAGTTTATCAGCTGAATCTGGGTAGTGTAGACAGGCTTGAGTAGCAAAATGTGTGTAACAGCTAGTTGGAAGTTTTGCTGCCTTCATCTTTCTAGATCATTGTCTTTGACTTTTGGAAGCTTCCCTCCTCCGCTCTAAGAGGCAAATTTTAGGCAGTTAGTTGTGGGAGTATATCTAAGCACTATGTTAAACTGTGATCACTTTAATGAGAAGAATCTTGAAAGTGTATTAATCAGGAGGGGAAAAACTCCAGGGAATAACAGCAGTTTATGGTTCTGACATTATTCTAAGCAATATTGTTGATTGCCTTTTAATGTTGGTTTTATGCTTTGAAACATTTTATGATGACAAGTAGAAACCAGCTAAGAATTTCTAATTTTTTATTCTATTAAATATTTTATCTGAAATCCCTTGGGGAGCTGTGGGACTGTATTATGCAGCTGGAGACAGATAGTAAAAACATGTATTGAACCTTGTCCAAGGACGGCTTCTGTTTTGATTGTTGGGGAATTGCTCTTGAATAATGCACAGTACACATCTCTATATGATCCCTCCTCAGGACCTCACAGCCATTGTCAGATGAGCCTCAGAGTAACAGGCTTCTCTGCCCCCTAGTTTCTCCTTTTCCCCATACAATATGCTGATCAATTTCACCTTGTTGGTTTAAATAAGCATTTAATAGTTTTAACAGTTGAATGCAGAGATCATGAAAGATTTGAGGTAAAAAAATGTAGTCTGCTTTAGACTATGGACATCTCATATTATTTATGTGTAGTACAGTTCTTGCAAAGATAAAATTTAGGACTGCAATCACTTGTAAAGGGAGGGCCCTCACACATCATAAATTATCAAGGAGCAGGAATGTGCATGGCAGTAAATATTTTAGTATGCAAAAAATGCCATGAATTGATAGTGTAGAGATAGACATCAGTCAGAGGAGCTTTAGAGAAGAAGATTAGAAGCCAAAGGGCATTTTTTATAATTCTTTTAAAAAATATTTTATTTATTATTTTTATGTGTATGCTTGTATTACCTCCATGTAGGTAAGTGCACCCCTGTCGTGCAATGCCCATGGAGCATTTTTGTGAGCGGAGAGTTGTGAAATTGGAGATATTATGACAGAATAGAAACTGTATTTTCTTATTTTCTACTATGTGGTTAAAGAAAACATGTACTGTAATGACATATTAAATAAGGAAACAAAATCATCCTAACTAACCACAACACCTTCCTTGTGCTCAGCAGGAAATAGCTAACACATTCATTTTCTGTTTTCTATTCTAAAGAAAACGCTGTGGGCCACAGGGTCATTGGGAACATTTTCTCCTTGGAGCAGATTTGACCATTGCAAAAGAGGGAAACTGGCACTTGGAAACTGTCATTGTAGAGGTTATATTGAGCAACTGGGGCTGAATTGTTACTTTGTTTAGCCAGTTTCAGCTCTGAGTTGTCTGGGCTCTGAGAGGTGTTGTTTCTAGGGAGGTGGTCTAGAAGCTGTGTTGGTGGAGACTTTGAGATGATGTGCCTTATGGAAGGATGAACTGTGCACATGCCGTAGTAATATCAATGCAAGGTCGTATTGGACCCCTTCTAGTAGGTCCTCATAAATGGCTAGTTTCAACTGTGAAATGTTACCTAAAAGTGTGACCTAAGGTGGAGAATGGGAGTTAGGGGCTTTCTGGAATAGCAATACTTACCAAAGGGGCACTTTTACAGATCTAATGTGTATCATTTAACCAAAATTATTACCTCTCATGATAAAGAGTTGAGTAAAATCTTTGCATTTCTAAGAAAATTGCATACATGTAGATGTTTTCTGTGCTTTTTGTAGAAAGGAGAGGAAAAAGATAGAAAGGTCTTATAGGGACTAGCCTAGCCAACTCTGTGCCACACTGATAAGCACCCTGTTCTGCAAACAGTAGCACCACATCCTAAAAGATGTGGTGGCACATATTTTGGTAGAATTAGGCCTATCTTGTTGCTTTCATGCGTGTTTTTAAGCTGTTTTCTAATTGAATAGATACACAGATAGAGGGAGAGCGTTTCTTCCTTTGAGACGTGCTGATTTGCAGTTCTCCAGAGCATAATGTGCTTCTTGGGGACTTTTAAATTAATAAATATAAGTGGCACCTATATTCACATATTAGAGGAAGGTGGTTCACAAAACTCAGTATAGCAAAAGTTGCTGCATATTTTTAAAATGCTGTTTATTTAAAGAATCTTTTCTTTCCAAGCCAGCTGGAAAGCCAGCTGTGCAGCAGCTTGAAGATGGGAAAGTGAAACTAGATTAGAAACTGACCAGTCCACTGGCTTGGTGATCGATTTAGGGACTGAATTGACATCCTACTGCCATTATTTCTTGTGGCTCCTTTCCTCTGCAGAGTGTAATTTGTGGGGTTAGGAACAATATCTTATCTTTGAGATCTTCTTTGTCTTGCCCCTCCCTCACCCAGTGTTTGGTACTTAGCCTGGTGTGCAGAAGGACTCTAAGTGTCTTTGGAGTGGATGGAGTCAAGTGCAAGCTCACAAAGGGAGCTTCCAGGTTCATGTTGAAACAATCTCAACTCTCTGATCTGTGACACCAAGTTCTGTGCTGACAAAGCTGAGTTCGATGATAGCCTTTACTTGTCACTATGGGAACCCCTTTGTTTTCCTTCTTTTTTTTTTCCCAAAGGATCCCTTATCAACTAGAGTGCTTAGCCACAATATGCTTAATCATTGTGCTGATTAGTGCTAATGGGATTTGAGTAATAGGGAAGAAAGGTCTTACTCGAGAAAATCTGCTTTTGGGGATGTGGGGGGATGCAGATTACCACACCCCCACTCTCAAATTTAAACAAAAAGAAAAAAAACTATTATTTTGAATTAACAAACAATTTAGCATCTTGGAAGGGTAAACCATCTAAGTGACTAACTTCCTCCTAGCTTCCAATCAAGGCAAGCATAGTGCCTCCCCACCATCCTTTATTATCCAGGGCATTTTAATTTTATTCCCTAATAACAGTATATCTTAAAAATAAAACTATATTTATATTTTTGTATAAGTAGCACAGTTCTTTTTTGTTTTTTTGTTTTTATTAAATTTTATTGTATTTCATACATAATATCTCAATCTGAATCATCTTTATAGCCCCGTCCTCACCAGCACTCTCCCACAGCCCCCCCCCAGTGAAATCCATATACTCTGTCCTGGGTGTTAAGGCCCACTGTGTCAAGTCAGGGTCCCCAGACATTCCCCAAATAGCACATTTCTTATGGCTCAGAATTCAGAAAGTATGCAAGAGTATACAGTGAATCTTTCCCCCTTTACCCTGCCCTCAGCTACCCACCTCTAAAACAATTTAAAATAATTTAGTTTTGAGACATATCATTCTCTGAAAACCATTTCTTTTTCAAAGTAGTCTTTTAAAAAAGAAAAAAACAGGTAGAGAATGTTAATTTTTCCATTAAGTCAATTTTATGGTAAAATTCTTCCTAGGTAATAGTCCAAGATCTTAACTACTTGGTTTCTATTTTATCTGAGTCCTTTTTTATCTCAAGTTATCTAGTCAATAGATGTTCTTTCCCACTTAATCCATAGCTTACGTCACAAATATAATCTTAAGATCTGAAATGAAAATCCCATCTTCTTTTTCAGATGCTTTGCCTATTCTATGACAGTGAATGTTGTGAATCTTCACTGGAATGCTCAAGGGAGTCATTCAGAAGTTTGTCTCTGAGAGTTAGGGATGGGGTTGCACCCCTACAGCAATTCCTACTGCTTTGCTGGCTGGGTAATCTCTCAGTAGAGTCCATGTGGGAAATCCCAAAATTCCATGACCAGAAAGAGAAAACCACCATGTATGGCTGTTTAGATTTTTATTTTGAAACTGAAGACCACAGTTGTCCAGGAAGAGTTTGAT